CTCTCCACCTTGTCAGTGAGTGTATATGAACAGGCTAAACCTACCAATGCCAATATTGCTTGTCATTAAGGGACAGACATTAACACCCACTCTCCTCTCAAAAGTTACATTATTGGTTTATTGGTGGGGCTTGTATTTACCGTCATCAAAATATCATACATTCATCAATCAACACCACGATTCTTATTGTTACAATTACTAAAATTGTTTTCATATAAAAATAAAGTAATAACAAATATATAATTAATCAATTGAATGAATATATAGAGGTAAAGTTTCCAATGTTTCATGTATCATTATCTAAAATTGGCTTGTCATTTATACCCAAAAAACATCTCTGTGCTTATACATACAGGTTCCTACACATTTTATAAGAACACTGAGGCTAAAATTGCTTAAAAATTAAGAACAATATAAGAACAAATTGAGGCTGAGGTAAAATGTCTAATGAGATTTTTATATTTAAAAACTCAAAAAAAACCCCCAAAAATTATATCTACTACCTTGTGTGCAGTAGGTGTGTAATACGCTCTATACACTTTTTTTTTTTTATAAGAACACATTTTGTAAGAACACTGAGGCTGAAATTGCTTAAAAATCAAGAACAAAATAAGAACAAATTGAGGCTGCGGTAGAATGTATCAAACTAAAAAAACAAAAACTTATATCTGCACCTTATGTGCAGTAGGTGTGACTATGTAATACCCTCTATAATACAGTACAGTAGGTGTACCTACCTTCCATTTGGGGCCATTTTTTAATCGGGGCCTTTTTTTGTGGGGCTATTTTTTGCTGGGCCTTTCATTCAGGGGCCATTTTTTGCAGGGCCGCTTTACCTCCCAGTACAGTGTATACTGCTGTACAATAATAATTTTCTATGTTTGAAAAGTGTGTTATAAGAACAAAATAAGAACAATTTGAGCCTGAAATTGGCCAAAAAATAAGAACACTGAGCATGGGCAAAACTTTACTGGTTCTTATATAAAAAAAAAAAAGAGTGCCTTGTATTTTATAATTAAAAATTACTTAAAATATATAAATTGTGTCAGTGGCGGATCCAAGTATTCAAAATAAAGGGAGCACAGAGAAGAACTTAACACAGAAGAGGGTTTATACCACCTCAGCCCTACCATGGTTGGAAAAAAAATTTATGATTATGGAACCTTTAGATGGCCGGAAAGGGCATTCTAGTCAGACTTAAATTTGAAATATAATTTTCTTTTTTCCTTATTTCTTACATAATTTTGAAATATTTAGGAGGCCTACACACCCCCCACCCCCCTTTGAATCCACCACTGTGTGTCCTATTAAATTCAGAATACCTACAATATTTTTTAACAAAACTCTGTCCTTTAATGCTTGTCGCTACTTCTAGAACCTCTGCAAATTTGTTCAAGCTTTCTACATCATTGGTCAATAAAAGTTTATCCACGAGGTATTGTAAGACGGCATAGGCACGATTTTCATACTTAATAACTCCAGCACCTTTGTCTTTCTTATAGAAATATACTACATTTGACAACTCGTAACTGCCCAGGGTGTGACGTACACTGATCAGCATTCTTGTAAATGCAGAGATTACAGAAGACTTGTGTGTGTATTGTTGGGAGCCAATTTTTTCCAAAAATTCACTTTGTAGTTTAATTCGTTTCATTAATGTCAAAGCATCATATACAATGTGAATGTTATTTTCTGAAAGCAAATTGGCTTTTTCCAATTCTTCAAGTATTTCTTTTGGGTTCTTGTGTTGTTGGTTTATGTCCAGTACTGATGATGCAATGAATCGTAAGCAATCACAATCTTCCTCTGATACTATTCGTGTTGACAACCACAAAAGGTTTTGGGTAAATGCAGCCATCTTGAAACCTAAATGACAATATATATACACATTAAAGACAATAGCTAGGTTCATATATGGGATAGCCACATGCTGCATTTTTCTCAATTAGCAGCTATGGTCTAGTAGTGGTGACCAACAATTAATAATATGTGATTAAGTCATGTATCATTAACTGTATTACCATACCTTGAGATCTTAACATTGTCGAGGTAAAATACAACCCCAATGTACAGTATTCTGGTGGTAGATTAAGATTTTATCATTTTTAAGTCTCTTCTCAATTGTATTACAGTAATTTAAACAGAGCAATTTTGTAAAACAGACTTACATCTTGTCTGAAACTGTATCCTAGCTATATAAATATGTTTTAAATGAACAATAAAATAAATAATATAAAATAAGTATAAAAAAAATTGAATGATGGTTTCAAAGTTGCGAATAGGGAAGTTTCACATTCACAAGAACGATTAACCAATACGGTTACACCATCATTTTTTTAGTCAGTCCATCTCATACAGCAGCATATCTGTCACAGGGTAGGCGATTTATGACTTTCAAATGAATCCATGATCATCAGCTCGTATATGTATCGTTGAGAATGTTTTTGGCACGATACGTTAATGAAGATGAGGTATTCGTTATCGTTTTCGCAAGGACTTTTAACTGTTACCAGGATAGGAAGCTGGCTGGTTTAAGCCGTCTAACTTGATTTAGCCTTATGTGCGGTATTGTTATGCAAATGAGCTAGATAAGCACAATCTGCACATGCTCAGAAAAACAAAACTTTCCTTAGCCACACTGCGTATCAGCTAGGCATACAGCAGCTAGGCCTAGCTTATCTTATTTTAGTTTGTTACGCACCACTAACTTAGGCTGTTTGTCATCACTTCAAGATGTCTACCGATTCGTGGAAAAGGCCTATTAAAATCCAAATATTGGCGTTGTGAGCAATACACTTTAATTTTATATAGGTAAGTAGTAAGTATATGAATAATTTTAATGCACTAGTTAGTTGATAACTTCATTCTAATTTGTTTTGGGTCTTTTTTCTGCATTTTTATAAGCAGTTAGACATGATCATTTCGGTCGCGCTTCGTTTCGGTCGCGCTTCGTTTTTGTCGCGCTTCATTTCGGTCGCGGTTCGTTTTCAACAAATATACGGAGCGCCAATGGAGTTTCGAAACGCTAAATTTAATATAACTAGGCCTAATTATCATTGCAAGTTCGTCAATCGGTTTATCATACTTTTTCATTTATGTTTTAGATGTGTATAAGAGACAGGTACGAACATGTGCGATGGTTCAGGTATGTAGTTGTTCGCCTATACAGACCCTATAATGTAGGGTTTGTGGCCATGGACTATACGACGTGTTGTTTTCTTGTCTATTAATTATTTTACATAAGCGTAATACAGACATAGATTATGATCATTAACCTCTGTTGTGTGTTATAACAGTATTATTCAGGGCCGGCGGAACGTTTTTCAGAGTGGTGGTGGGGGGGGGGGGACCCACTTATAAGATGAATGGGAATATGAATCATGCAGATTTGGAATCAAATCTAGGGGGTCTGGGGTCCTCCCCCGGGAAAATTTTGATATCTAGCTTTTCCGACTTCTGAGGTGTCTTAATTACTTTTAAGTTCTTCAAAATTCAAGGTTTTCCCCTCTTGAAAATTATTATAATGAATCAATGAACCCAAAGAGAAAATGGAGG